GAATGTCTGGTAACAACTCCTGTGGTGGCTACATGGTGTCTCTCTCTCAGTGCCTCTCTTCCTACCTTTCCCAGAATTCTCCTCGTCTCCTAGTCCTGCCTATCTTCCTGCCTCTATTAGCCAAACAGTATTTTATTCATCAACCAATAAGAGAAACATACATACATACATACATACATACATACATACGATATCCCCCATCAGCTACCTTTTTGGAAAGGGAGTTTATTAGCAAAGGAAGCCTCCTTTGCTCTGCCCTCCACTTCTGTATCCAGGCCCAAGGCTTCAAGGCTCCAAGGGCGGGTCTTGTTGGAAGGGCTGCTACAGGGATGAGATGAGTCATCTCAGACTGAAGGCCCTGCAGCCAGCCCGATGCTAACGCCAGGGCTGGACCTGAAAAATGGAGGGCTCACAAGTTCCTTTGAAAGGGAGCGCTTTCCTTGGCTTGTTAATGTTTTCTTCACAGAAAGTCCCCATCCGCCAGTGGGCACAGGAAACAGTGTCAGGGAGCTGTTGACTTCCTGCTTAGGCTGCGGGGTTGGTCCACAACCACCAGGAACCTCTGAGGTGGGTTCAAGAGCTGCCTGTCTCCATTTGGACCTGGTGCTGTGCTGTTGTTTGACCACTGTGCAGAAGGATTTATCGGGCGAAGGAGAGAACTCTCAGAACCGGTGTGGGTTTCCAAACATTGTGGGCAGGAAGTAGGCCTTCTTGGCAGGTAGACCTAAGGATTTCTGGCTCTGGGAAACTTATTGGACTTAAGCATGTTGAAAGTTATCTTACAAGGGCTGGAGGGAGATGGCTGAGTGGTTAGGTGTGCTGACTGCTCTTCCAGAGGACCCAGATTTAATTCCCAGCATCCACGTGGTGGTTCTTAACCATCTGTAACTCCACTCCCAGGAGATTTAGCACCCTCTTCTGGTGTCCCTGGATACAGACATACATGCAGGCAAAACACCCATACACATAAAATACAAATATTATTTTTAAAAAAGTTATCCTACAAAGGATCACCTCAACGAACATATCTGCTTGACTTCCAGCTTTTATTTCTTTTTTTAAAAGATAGCATCTTTTCATTTTCATATAAAATTGCATATTTGTGAGCTCATATGGATTTTAAGTGTCTAATTTGATGATTTGGAGCTATCAGACTAGTGAGAATACCTTCTACATAGCTAAGTAGAACATTCCCTCCACCCTAGCAGGTTTCCTAGTACCCCTTCCCAGCTGACCCCTGAAACTCTTTTACTCATATACTGAATATAATACAAGTGAAATCATCTTTTTGATGGCTCACTCAATTTGAATATTATAATTTATAAGATATTAATCTGTGTGTGTGTCTGTGTTTGTGTGCATGTGTGTATTTTGTGACTGCACGGGTGTGTTCTGCAGATGCGAGTGCATGCCAGGGGACAGTCTTGGGTCTTAATTTTTAGAGACCATTTACCTTTTTTTTTGAGACAGGGTCTCTCACTGGTCTGAAACTCACCAAATAGGCTAGGCTGGCTGGCAAGAAAGCCTCAGCCATCTGGCAATTTGTTAGTGAGTTTGTCAAGAAGTGGTTTTTAAATGGAGGGCGGTGCCTCTCCCTGCCAAGGGCTCTACACTCAGCATGCCTGACTTTGCTCATTTCCATGTACTTTCTAAACAACAGGCTTTGAGCTGTCACTGGGCTGGAAAGATCAATTAGAAATAGCATGGTGACAACCCCAGGGTAAAGGTTTATGAAAGGAGATATGGGGCTGGTGATTTAGAGCATGGCTGGAGCTCCTGCCTTGAGTGCACCAGTCTGAGTTCCATCCCCAGAGCCACCCAAACAAATGAAGCACAAAGTAGGAAACACAATTAAACATTCTCTGCTGAGTCAGAGGGAGGGGAACTAAACAGCCAGGAGAGGGTATTAGTTAATGCTTTCCTCATTGCTGAGCCAGACCCTTGACAAAAGCAACTCAGGGAAGGCGGGGTTTATGCCAGCTTAAGGCTTGAGCAGAAATCCACCGTGGCAAGGGAAGGAAGGCATTGCTAGTCATGTCACGCCCTCTGTCTGTAACCCCAACCCATAGAGCAGCCCTGCCAACATCTGGAGTGGGTCTTCCTACCTCAGTTTACCTAGTCCAGAAAACCCTTTCCACAGACACGCTCAGAGGTGTGGGTAATTGTCCATCAATACTAAACATCACAGAAGATCTTGGGGAGGAGGTAATTTTGCATTGAGCTTACTAGAAAACAGGGCTTAGAATTCTTGGGAAAGCATGGTGGCAAGCTCCGCCTGGATAGGGAGATGGAGGTTGGGGGAAGAAGGCAATGGGGACAATTGTAGCACAGGGAGGAAGGTGGGGACCCACACCAGTGTCCTCAGTTCACCTTTGCAGCAGCCAAACCGTGGGAGACTTGAGCCAGCAGCCTGACCGAGAAGTATGCAGAAGGTAGGTAGTCCACTCTAGCTCATCTCGGAGCAGATCCACTCTACCTCGTGGACTTGGCTGGGTCCTGTCACCTGCAGCTAGTCTTCTGGGCTGAGCTTCTGGAACAGCTTTGTTCTTGTTCCACCTTTTTGCATGGTGACATGCAGCACACCTGGGGGGGCAGGGGGGAAGGTCTGGGCCAGCTGTGGAAGAAGGAGGTTGTGGAGCATGCCTCCTACCTCCTCTTTCTGTTCCTCCTCCCTGGTCCTGCAGAGTGAAGGCTTTCCGTTCTCCATAGTGAGTCACTTGGCAGACACCATGTTGACACTCAGTGACCTGGGTAACTGGGTCTTTGTGTTGAGCAATGGTCTTCACATTCTGTGCCTACCTTCCCCCCGCAGGCTGAGGCTCCTGGCCTTTGGACATAGTCACACCCCAGCCTGGCAAGAGAGCAAGGTCACTGAATCTGTATGTGCTGACATAGTAGCCAAGAAAAACAATGTTAATTCCTTTCCTTTTATTTGGAGAGCACTTTGTACTCTGTCGGCCATAATTGGGCTGCTTTTTTCTGCCCAGACAGCCTGTGCTTATCTGGTACCTACTATGTGTCAGGGACAGTTGGATACCATTAAGCAGGTGTTAGAAAGAGCCTGCCATCTATTTTAGAGGTCATATGAAAAATGAACATAAGAAATAGTGAGACATGAGAAGTATAAGCCAGGACCAAGAGGAGAGAATGGTTGGTTTGTTTGGAGGGTCCTGGGAGAGGAAGTGGCATTCAGTAGGTCAGAAAATGATTGGTAACTGCATGGCCTTTGTAGGGTGGGATGCAGGAAGCAGGTAGGGTAAGAACAGAGAAGTTGGAAAAGTGATCAGGATAAATCTTGATGGGCATGGGGTGAAGCAACCCTGGTTTAGACCTTCTCTGTAGCAGGAAGCACCTCTGAGGACTTTGGAAAGGTCCCCTTGGAAGCAGTGTGCAGTTGGGGTTAGAGTAATGTGAGACCATGGGTAGATTAGGCCACTGTGGCCACCCTTTGGAGAGATGCAGCTTGGAGAAGGGGTGGGAGTTGTGTTCTTAATCCCTTCCATGAATAAGTTGTCTTCGGTGTCTGTTACACACAAGTTAACGTGGGGCACGAAGATGAGGGACACATTGGTTCTGCCCTGGGAAACCCTAGTTGCTAATCAGGTCTATGCTAGCCTCAAGCAACAGAAATAGTTCACTAACCTGACCTCGACAAAGCCAAGGCAGGAGAAAAAGGAGTGTATGTGGGTGGGTGGGTGGATGTTGGCTCATACATGGACATTTCTAGTAGGTAGAACTTCTGAGACAGTAGCATCCTGGTGGTCCAGCACTGTACTTTGGAACCTAAACTTTCCCATCATTGTCTGATTGTTATTTTATGTGAACTTTCTCCCTCCCCCAACCCCAATACATCTAACAATGCTTTTCCTTCTTTGTTTTTTTGCAGATTGGTTTATTAACTTTTGTGTTTGGCCCTTGGAGTGATATGCTTGTTAATTTAAATACATTTTAACTGCGCTAAAGAAAATGACATGACAAAATTTTGTCATTTTAACATATGTGGTGGAGTAGTGTCATTTATATTCACTCTGTGTGGACGTTATTTTGGTTGTTGGGTTTAGTTTTCCTCTTATCTTGAGATATGAGGTCTTAGTAAGTTGTCTCAGGTAGCCCTCAAACTCCTGATCCTCCTGCCTCAGCCTCCTGAGCGCCAAGATTACAAGCATGTGTCACTAAGTCTGGCTAGATGTTAAAAGTTTTTTAAAAGCGTCATTTATGATTTTATGTGTATGAATGTTTTGCTGCATGCATGTCTATGTTCTGTGTGTGCCTGGTACCTGCCCACTGATGTAAGAAGAGGGCATTGGCTCCCCTGGGACTGGAGTTAATAGAAGGTTGTAAGATGTCGTACAGGTATTTGAATCAAACCTTAGCCTTTTGGAAGAGCGACAAATGCTCTTAACTGCTGAGCCAAAGTTCCAGCCCCCCCCCCATATATATATTTATTTTAAGGCAGACTTTTTGCTAGCATTTCCAGGTTAGCAGCTGGCGTCAGCTTAACAATGCCAGTGACATGAGTAGCACTCAATGAGACTGGTTTCTATTGGCCCACATTGGGCCATGCTGCTACCCCTTGCTTGTCACCATGTCCTCATGCTGAGACAATAGAGGGTGGTCAGAAGAAAAGTGGGGTGTTGCTGCTGACAGACAGAGGCCAGAGCAGCAGGGACCCACTGCAAGCAGATAGCTTGTCAACACAGATCATGCCCCGAGGCGACAGTCGGCTGCTTGGGACTGGTCTTGTACTGCAGGGATGGGCAGGCGTGGCACAGTGGGACTCCTCTTGTGGGCCCTGCGCCTTCTCTTGGCTCATCGCTTGCTGCCAGCTGCTGCTAACACCACTGTTGCTTCAGCTTCCCCCTCCCTTCCATGGGCTTCAGCCTCCCACTGGCTGCTCCATACCATGCATCCCCTCAGGTGCACCTACCCTGTGCCCACGGGAAGGGCCTGGAGTCCAGGCCTCAGCAGGGCGGGTCTGAGGCTCTCTGTTTCTCCCGCAGGCCTCTCCCTGGAACGCCTGCCCAACTCCATTGCCTCCCACATCCGCCTGACTGAGCGGGAGGAGGAAGTGGTTGCCTGTTTTGAGAGGGCCTCCTGGGTGGCTCAGGTATTCCTGCAAGAGCTGGAGAAGGTGAGCCGGGAATAGGGGTGCTATGCCAATGGCTGCGCTCTCTTGGTCACAGACCTCTTACACGTCTTAGAAGGCGGCACCTCCTCTCCCAACACACTACTTCTTTGGCTGGAGAACTCAGGTGCGCCGGTTTTGCTAGAGACTCTTTACCTCAAGAGGAGACTTTTAATCTAATAGGTGGGTCCACAACATATGCGTGGGAGCAGGAACCCCATGGTGAGCTGAACTTGTAGGCCATTTGTGACAGCCCCTGTTTGTACCTTTTCACTTGATCACGCCTGACAACAACCCTGGGACAGATAGAGGCGTCCCGGGGAGCCCTGTAGCAAACGAAGCTTAGCGAGATCAAACCGCTGGTCTCTTGGACAGCACAGGGTCAGGCTGAGTCTTGCCCTTTGTCACCCTTCCCTGCCTCCCGGACGTCAGGAGAGAGAGCTTCGCTGAATTTCCAGGGAAGCTGGGCAGTAGGACCCATTCTCCAAGCCTTTCGGAGGAGGCGAGCAAGTCCTCAGCCCCGCAGCTCCTACCTTCCCATGGTGGGCCTCCACCCCAGTGTGCCTCCTGGAGGGTCTCAGCTGCTCCCTGTATTCAGGACCTACGTTCATGCCATGCCGTGCTCTGAGGGACTCACGTGCGTTCTGTCACTTGACCCTCTCAATGAGGGAACAAAATAGGTGCGGCTGTTATTCCCATTTTACCCATAAAGAGGGTTGAGATTGGAAAGAAGTTACACAGCCTCCCAAATTCATGTGATCATTGGCAGGAGCACCAATCTCAAACGTTTGTGTGCACCTTTTTTTTTTTTTTTTCCGAGACAGGGTTTCTCTGTGTAGCTGTAGCTGCCCTGGAACTCACTCTGTAGATCATACTGGCCTTGAACTCACAGAGCTCCATCTGCCTCTGCCTCCCTAGTGCTGGGATAAAAGGCATGTGCCACCACTGGCTGACAGGTGGAAGGTTCTGTGGCAGAGTGAGTTAGAATTGGCATACACAGGAGGGGGTGGATGGGAGCTGAGAGCCATGATAGCCCAGAAGACACTGAAACTTTTTTGCTGTGTAAATGACAGCGTTAGCTGCTCATAATGGACCCTCCAGAGCAGTTCCCCTTGGGCCAGTCATGTCACTAATCAAGGGACTTTTGTCCTCAGTGCTGCTGACTTTTGAGGCTGAAATTTTCTTTGCTATGAGGGCCACACTGGTATTATATGATGTTAGCAGCTCACACCCCAAATTGGAACAACTAGATACCCTCTGAGGGCCAAATCACCCCGTCCTGAAGCCTCTCGGCTTGGTTGGTTATTGGTTATCAAGAAAAGAGGAGAGATTACAGTCAGGCCTCAGTACTCGTCTTCTGGCAGAGGCTGCGTAGAGATTTGGTTGAGTTGACCCTCGCAAAGGTCACTGGGATCATTGATAGACAGCTGTGTCAGGAGCTCCTTACATGTCTTTTTTCCATAGAAGTCCACTCCAAGCCGCATGCTTTTCCAATGTAGAGAGCACTCGTAGATGACCGCTGTCCCTGTACTCTTCCTCCTCAGGCCTCAAACAACAGCACATGGAGGCACCTCAAAGGCAGTCCCTCAGTTGACTATGAACTCAGTTATTTCTTGGAAGCTGCCCTCCAGAGTGCATATGTGAAGAACCTGAAGAAAGGGTAGGTGGCTGTTGGCCTAGGAAGCCCCGGAGATTCTCTCTGAGCCTGGACTTTCCACACTGGCCCTACTCTGTTCTCTCTCTCTGTGTGTGTGTGTGTGTGCGCGCGTGCGCGCACGAGCGCACGCCCCCCCCCCCATGCGTGCGTGCGCGTGCCCACTCTCATAGAAAATTGTATAGAACTGGCTTGCTTGGGTCATGCCCATGTCAGATGGAGTGTTCAGAGACCAAATTGTAGGAGCAATTGAAGCAATAAAGCCTGGGTATGCACAAGAGGAGCCCAGACAGGCATGGGTAGAGAATCAGGAGTGGTTCTCTTCAGAGGGACCAATGGGAGCCCAAGACCTAGAGACTGGTGGTGAGGGCAGAGAGCCAGCCCGCACTGTCCCCATGGTGGTTACTGTGAAGTTATGGGCGAAGTCATTTCTTTCTTGTAGGTTGGTTCTTGCTCACTTTACTTCTCAGCGGATCATGAGGCGTGAAGGGAGGGACAGCCACAACAGAAGCTCACATCATTTGTCAAAGAGGGAGCCTTAGGGTCCCACAATATCAGTCTTTGTCGTCATCTGCTTGTGTGCATACTGAGGGGGTGGCTGGTGTTCTGTGCCAGACTGGGAGTGCTGCCTTCTGGGGTGCTGTGGGTGACCCTTGTAAGGGAGGAAGTTGTAGGCTCAAGAACGTGCCCTGCAGGCAAGCATGACTCATAGGTGGCCTGCAGGCTTCCGCTCATGTGGAGCTAGGGGTTGGTTCCTGGGTGCCTCTGCTATAGAGATTTGGGGCCCCCTCAGCTCCTCTCTCTGCATCATTACCATCCATCCATCCATCACTGTAGATGCCGATCACTAAGAGCAGGTGCCAGGTTACCTACAACCTTTATCCCACAAAGCTGCAAGCTACAGCTTCCATGGCCTGTTCTCAGGTTCAGTGATTTGCTAGAGCAGTCCAGGAACATAGGAGTGGTTTGTTCCTAGATTACCTGCTTCTCACACAGTGATCCAGAGGAGCAGATGCATCGGCACGGCCTGGAGGCTCCACACCATCTTGACAAGCCACCCTCTGTGTGTCCTGCAGCCTGAAAGCTCCTTATTTAGTTCTGTTGTGACACCAGCATCCTGGTAGGTGCTCACTTATGGCTGATACCCACAATGCTTTGAGACAGGCATGGCCCTTCCCACTATTTCACAAGCAAGAGAAACCGGTTTGGCGAGCTTGGGGACTTGCCCAAGAGTGTGGATTCTGGCTGTAGGGCTGTACTTCCCACCCTGGTGCCCTGCCAGGCACGAGGAGCATACCAAGGTAAACTGTTTCCACCTGAGACCCCTGAATCCTGTTCAGGAATTCATGCAGTACTCCCCTCTCATCAAGGGGGGGCATAGGTCTCCCTAAGCCCAGACCACTTGCTTGCCTACATCCATCTCAGCTGCTTCTACATCTTAGGTGTCTGGCCTTACTGAGCCAAGCTCCAAAATCTGGGAAAGGACTCTCTCTCTCTCTCTCTCTCTCTCTCTGACAGTGTTTCTCTGCATAGCTCTGGAGCCTACCCTGGCACTCACTCTATAGACCCAGCTGGCCTCAAACTCACAGAGATCCTCCTGCCTCTGCCTCCCAAGTGCTGGGATTAAAGGCGAACGCCACCACCGCCCAGCCTCTATTTTTTCTTATTCCAGGCACTGAGGACAGAATTCAGAGGCATCCCACATCCTGAAAGGGATGCAGTTTTGTGCAGGGCTGCTTGTTTGAACAGGGATACCCTTGGACAGAAACAGTGACCCACTGCTGTGCTGCTGGCCCAGGGTACTTGGAGCATCCATGCACCAAGTGATACCTGCAAACAAGAGTGTCTGGAGATCTTTACAGCCTTTGCATCCTCCCCGAGGTCTACCACCTGCTCTGTTTGGTCTCTAGTCTCAAGAGTCTGTGTCTTTCAACTTATTGTTTCCTAAGCTTGTGTAGCCAGAACCCTTTTCCTTGAGATAGGCTGTCCCTGATTCTTGTGAGCCTCTGCTTAGGGCCTAGCTAAAGCCTGCTGTTTCCAGCCGCAGGCTGCAGGCCGCAGGCCACAGGCCGCAGGCCATTGTGCGTCTGTGTTCACCTAGCCCTGGGTTGACTCTAGTAGTATCGAACTCAGTCATATTCCCCTCCACCCCAACAGTAGGCAACTTCATGAGAATGGAAGGTGGCCAGGAACACGAGAGGCTCACTCACAGCTACGAGCAGCATGTACTTCAGTATTTTGTTGTTTTTAAAAGGGGAAAAAATAAATCTATACCTGTATGTGTAGGTAGGATTTTCTGTCCCACCAGCCACTCCCTAAATAGCCATACAGAGACTCATTAATTATAGAGGCTCATCCAATAGCGTAGGCTTGTCTACAGCCAGCTCTTATAATTTAACCCATTTGTATTAGTCTATATGCTACCCCATCTATGTTTACCTCATCTATGTATTTCCCATATCACTTCTTCCTCATCTGGCTCACGATTCTCATGACTCCCTGATTCTGCCCTTTCTTCTTGCCAGCGTTCTCTCTGCCCCCAAAATCCTGGCTAGCCATCGGCCAGTCAGCTTTCTATCAACAGTGAGAGCAACACATCTTCACAGTGTACAGGATTATTCCACAGCATGTATCATACACAAAAGAACTCAAAATACCCTAGTGATTATCCAGGGCAGGGGCCACAGGTTTTCTCCGTCAGTGAGAGGCTGAAGGTTGAGTTGATCACCAGTTTTGACCAGTCATGCTTGTTTAATGGACTTCATAAAACCCCCATCCCTGGAAGACAGTCCACACGCTGCAGCCAGAGCTCTTGTGGCCATGAGCAAGCCTCCTCTCTAAACCTGTTTCCCTTGCTTGTAAAACAGTGGGGAGGACCATGCCCGCCTTGCAGCATTGTGGGTATTAAACCACAAATGAACGCCTGCCATAAATGGTATCACATCTGCCTAGACCATCAAAACCAGGAACACCGTCTGCTGTTTTTAGTATTTTTTTTTTTTCCAATTTGGTTCATGGTTGAATAGGTTGCTAGTGTAAGTATAAATCTTACACCTTTAATTTTTCTTATTTTAGTCTTGGGAATACAAGGCCAGGCAGTGTTGGTGCCCTCATTTGACCACAGACGTGTGGATCCGAAGACCCAGAAAACCCAGGCAGCTCATTGCTCAGGGTGTGGCTGCCCACGGCCCTGGACTCCCCAGACCACCTGTGGTGGCTATGGAGGGGCCCCCAGAGTACACAGAGACTCCGAGGCACCCAGTTGTCCCCACCCGCCACCACACCTGTTTTTATTTTTTTGGTCCCTTTTTCAGTTGCTGATCTAAGTTCAGAGAGAGTGGCATAGCCCTCTGCTTCCTGTTTTTACTGCCTAGAGATGTAGCTTGGGTCTGCTGTTGTCCTGGCCTTGCTGTGTCTGGAGTGTGGCCTGACATCCCTCCCCTCTGGAGCCTCTCCAGTTGCTAGTTGGAAATTCTCAAGGGCAAGAAAAGACGATGCCACCTTCAGACCCCTGCCTTGGAGATACAAAGGGAGTTGAGGGTCATTTGTTTCAGGCTGTGAGCCCCTTATGAAGCTCGACAGATTGACTATCACCTATTTCTGTAAATAAAGCTGTCATTAGAATAGCCACACTCATTCATTCATTCATTCATTCATGAGTTGTCTCTCTGCACAGACCTTAGATCAAACCTGTATTCACCATATTTATTTATTTATTTATTTATTTATTTATTTACTTATTTATTTTGGTTGTGTTGGTGGCGGTGTTTCAAGATAGTCTCACTATGTAGCTCTGGCTGTCCTGGAACTCCCTATGCAGACCAGGCTGGCCTCGAACTCACAAAGATCCATCAGCCTCTGCCTTCTGAGTGCTGGGATTAAAGGCACACACCACCACTGCCCAGCTAACCTGACCCTTGTTAAGTGCTTGCATGGTTCAGTCCTTGTAACAGCTCTCTGAGATCATAGTTAGCATCTCTACTTCCTCATACAGGAAACTGAGGCAGAGGGCAAAAGTAATTTGGCTGAGATCTGTATGACTGATATTTGGAGCTGGCCTTCCTTTTGAACTTTATGCAGGTGAGGATGACCTTGAACTCCCGACCTTGCCATTTCCTCATTCTGAGTGCTGGCCTTAACAGGTCTGTGCCACACACCCAGTTTATGTGACACTGGGGTCCAACCCACTGCTCCATGCCTGCTGAATGAGTGCTGTACCAACCGAGCTGCATCTGCAGCCTGTAGCTGGCACTCTTAAAAGTAGGCTACACTCCTGCATCTTAGTGATGGTTTCCCAGAGCCTGCCCATGCTTGGCTGTTGCTGCTGCTGGCGTCTGATGTGAAAAAATCAGTGGGTGCTAGAGAAAGTCATGAGGGGACTGGAATTCAAAGGCCATGATTTCCTTCACTCTCTGTCTCCACTCCCTACCTCTACTCCTTTTCCTCCATTTGTCATCTGGGGACTGTAGGGGGTCATGGAGAGGGAAGGAAGAGCCTTATCTGGCTGGGGAGGTACTGCTGTTACCCCCCCCAACACACATATACTCCATGATATCCTTCCTCCTCCCCCATTTCTGCAGGTGTAGAGAGGTTAAAATAGTAAGGACAGCAAGGAAGGAAGGAAGGAAGGAGAAAGGGTGTGGCTGCAGGCTTCTTGTCCTGCCTGGTCCCACCGCTCTTGAGCCCCAAATAAACAGACAGATGCTATATTAATTATAAAATTGTTGGCCGATGACTAGGGCTTCTTATTGGCTACCTCTGTCTTAATTATGAACCCATTTCTATAAATCTTAGTATTTCTACATGGTCTTACCAGAGAAGGGTCCAGACCTCTTATTCCTTTGTGATCCATGAGTGGATCTTTGGTGTGCTAACTTGGTTCCTTTTGCTGCTCTGTGACTGGGTCACGTGATCAGAGGATAGCTCTGGCTGCAGGTCCTCCCTTCTCTACCATACCCCAGTCACGTGTTTGTTCCCATCTGCATTCTGCACACTCAGGCAGGAAA